AATACGATTTCTGCTTGTAATATGTAAAAAAGGGAAAAAAATGTGATTTTTTTGAAAATATGTGGGAATATTGCCTGTAATACTAGAATATATAGTCCTTTTTGTTTTGGTAAGAAATAAACACTTCAGATAAATTCTTCCAGCTATCACATAGCTATAATTGTACTTCAATTTTTTTATTAACATCAATTAATTAAATTGATAAACATATGAGGGCTGTTTTTTAAGTGGACTGTTTTCTGGTTTACACTAATAGGTGACAGGTGCGTCGCAACGAGTGCTTGTGTCGTGTTCTGGTATTCTTTGTGAACAACGCTGCTCAGTTACAGCGGTGCAGGTAACCTGTACAGTCAGTTCTGTGCCTTTAAAAGTTTTGCAAATCGCCCGCCACATATTAGGTATGGGCAGTGATGCAGTTTCAGTTGGCAAAAAACCTGCCTGCTGCATACATTCACCGGCAGATTTGTGAAGTTTACAAAGCTTCCTATTGGCTTGCTGACAGGAAATTTTGCTATTGTTTTTAATTGTTTTGGCCATTGATGCGGTTTTAGACGGCAATAAACCTGTCTGCTGCATACATTCACCGGCAGATTTGTGAAGTTTCCTACTGGCTTGCTGTCAGGAAATTTTGCTACTCCATGACAAATGACTCTCCGTAGCTCAGTTCCGAGCTTTATTGGCCTCTTTTGGCTGGAAGGTTTTGGACCACCCCTCAATACAGCCCAGACCTTACGCTAAGACAAACATCCTCTTGGCAGCTACCAGTACAACGATGACGAAGATGGGAAAACGGCCATGTCCTCTTGGTTATCGGAGCAGGCAGCAAGTTACTATGTAGAGGGTATTCTAAATCAAATTGTAAGGTAGATAAGTATGTAGGTAAACATGGCAACTATTTTTTTAAAAAAAGAAACGTATGTAGAATAAAAAAATAAATTTGCTTCATGAAGATTTTCTTTCGTTTGGTTTTTATTTTCAAACGGCCCTTATTAAAAAAACAGCCCTCATAAATTTGTTGAATAGAATTTTCGCTGAGTATTTCTTGTATTAAGTTCTTATTTTAGTTATTAAACTTGCTTAAAAGTACTGGTTTAACCTTGTCTCAATACGAGGAGCATAAGTTTTTTTTATGAGCATTTTATCTCTCTCCATGATTTTTCTATTGTCTTTATTTCATTCATAGTTCTGTACTATGACATTTTAGGTCTACCCCTCTTTTGAGGTGTTTAGTCCAGTGCCTGTTACTTTGAATTTTTTTGGGGGGATTTTCTGATTGTATGTCCAATCCATTACTATTTTTTATATTTGATTTCGAATTCTATTGGTTTTTGACTGCTGATTTTGTTTAATTCATTGTTAGGTATTCAGCGAAACCATTTTATCTTAAGAATTCTTTTGATACATTTGTTGATAAAAACCTGTAACTTATTTGTATATTTGTTTTCAAGTTGTACTAAGTTTTTGATCCATTTAAAAGTACTGATTTAACAAGTATTGATTTTGAGTTAAATGTTCTTATTTATTCATGCCCAAAATTTATTTAGAATAGTTAAAGCACTACATGCTTTGTTCAACCTTTAGCGATATCTTGATCTATACCTCTTCTTTCATTTATAATTGATCCAAGGTAGTTAAAACTGTTGACAATCAAACAGTTTTCTAGATATATGTTGTTATTCTGCTTTAGGTAAATCTTCATAGTCTTAATAATATAAAATGTATGCAAGCAAAACTTGCATTTAAAAATATTCAGAAAATTACTATTTTAATTTCAGAGAAATGTTGGGGTTTTTTGTGGGAAAATGAAATAATTATTTCTATGGTTTTATTTGTTTCATCTCATTAAAAAAATTATGTGTTAATGAAACTCAAAAGAAATGTTTTATTTACCCTATTTCTTCCTATTACAAAAATTCTTTTTCTTCGCTAGTGAAGTTATTTTTAACCTAATACTGTGTTTTTACTGATACAAAAATAAAATTTTTCTGATGCGAAGATCGATAAAATTTTTTGAAAGTGAGTGAAACACCTTTTTAAGTAGGAAGCACTATAAATTATTTTGACATAGTGGTTTTAATGGGGTGGCAAACAGGTTACAGCAGACCATTACTAATTAATTAAACCATTAAATTTGATCAATCATTTGTTTTTTAATACTTACTATACCATTTCTATTTTTTTTGTTTACGTATTGAGTTTGCCATTTTTCTACTGAATGGCGAATGAACACCAGAGTAATTTTTAATGATTAAATTCTTTCTACATAATTCCTTAGCTTAAATTACAATGTGAATTACAATTAAATTAAAGTTGCATTCACACAATGGAGTACATAGATTTAGGTGCACCCCTCTGCAAGAATTATAAATACTTCCTATCTTAAACATAACACAATTTTTTAAAGATTATAATGTGAGACAAGAGCACCAAAGAAACAATCTAGAATGTTTAATTATTCATTTTATTTCAATTTATATAAATTTATATATTTTAATTTAAATTATTTTAATATTAATTAATAAAGAATTAAATTGCGATGAAACAGAGGGATTTAGAAAAAAAAGAAAAGAAAAAAAAAAGCTAAATTGGAACATTGTACATGCTTACTGACTAACCACATTGAAATGAAATTTATCTTAAGAATACGAGGAAATAACTGATTATCTTACCATATTATATTCAAAGTTTTAGTTAAGGATAATTTTTTATTTTTAAAGTAAATAAAAAATATGTTATAAAATATAAAAATATTTATATTGAAATTCATATATTATGATGCACAATCTTTTTGAATGAAGGGCTATGTGCCCAAATATCTAGATATGTTGACCACATTTTTTTCAGAAAATTTTATTTATTCATTTTAATTTAGCTTGTATAAATTTATATATTTTAATGCAACTGAAAATTGTGCCTAAAACAATGACATAAACGTCAGTCTTTTTGACACAATTCTTTTTATCAGTCAACGTAGTAATATATATGCATGAAATCAAATTTCTTTAAATAATTATAGTTCTTTTTATATTACTTTAATTTTTTTAATTAATTCCTTCTTTTCTTTTTTATTAGTCAAGTTAGTAATATATTTGCATAAAATTAATTCTTTTAATCATTCAATTCATTCAAAACTAAAGGCCAAACTCATACTTAAAAAAAAAAAATTTCCTTTTTATTAAAAAAAGTAAAATAAATAAATAAATTTATCTAAAAAATATAAACTTGTGGAAGAAGATATGATTTTTTATAACATTATGTAATACAAAAAGTATATTTTAAAATAAATTAACTATAATGTTCTTAAATGAAAGTAAAAGATAAATATTTTATCAAGCAACATAAATACAAATTAAGTATTTGAAAAAAATTGTATGATGAAATGATTTAAAGTAAAACAAATGCATTATAGCTCAAAATTAACTTCAGCATTCAGTTGGGATTATTGTTTAGTATATTTTTAACATTTGGACATTTATATTTAGTGAATTATAAGAGATGTTATGAATGTTAGATTTTAAAAGTTTTCTAATTGCTTTTTTAACCTACCAATAATTAGGAATAAAGCTCGAAAACAGTAAACAGTTTAAAACTCACATTCAAATTTGACTTTTTGTAATTATATTGCATAAAAAATCGAGATATTAAAAAAAAAGTGGAAATAAATAGTAGCAACTGAGAAAAAGCATGGATTGATGATGAAATCGGCCCAAATAAAGTCCAGCATAAGTAATAATTATTAAAATGCCAAATTTGAAAACTGTTATTATGCTGGTAAAAAAAATCAGGATTTTCAAAACCCTAGAGTGTTAAAAGAGCAATTAAAAAATCTTAGGTTTGCAATTAAATCGGTATCACGAGTATTATCGTCTTAAAAAGATCAGGATTTTAAAAAAACACTTGGAAATTTTACAATAACCTCCAAAAACACGATTGAAAAGTCGCTTAGATTTTCTATGAAATGGACTCAAATAAAATACCTTAAAAGTTAAATTTACGCATCATAATTTTGCCATATTAAAAATATTGCAATTTTTAAAACTTGGGAATTCATAATGATAACCACCGAAACAAGCGATTGAAAAACTACATTGATTTAGATTTGGGGTGTCAAAAAAGTAAATGTGTAATTCAAAATTTCCGATTTTTTTTTCCTGTAAAAAAGATCCTCTCATGTAGTGTATTATTTCTTCCTTTCCTATGCTGGGGGGGGGGCTGCNGCAAAAATTATTATGCTGGGGGGGGGGGTTGCGTTGTTGTTATTTACTCACCTGCAATTACAATTAAAGTTAGTAAAAATTATTAATTAAAGAAATAAATGTTTTAAGAAAATTAAAGAATTGATTGTTAAATCAATTAAAGAAATAAATGTTTTAAGTAAATTAAAGAATTGATTGTTAAATCAATTAAAGAAATAAATTTTATCAGAAACTGGAAATGTGTTCAATAACTATGTAAACCAATAATGGGATAGAACTTGCTACAAATTAAATTTATGTCTCTTTATGGAACTGAAAAATAAATGATTATGAAACTAAAAAAGAAATTTAAAATAAGATTTCTTCTATTAAAGAAAAATTTAAGAAAATAAAATAAAATCTCTTAGTGAAAGCCAATCGTTACCTGTCAGTATGCTTCCTGTCTTTTTGATATTTAATTTTTTTACAGTCGAAACTATACTATATAACTACTTAATCATTTGTTAATGAATTTTCATTCCTGTTATTTCTGCAAATTTTATGTGTAGAATTTTAAAGAAGGAATTATTCATATTGATCTTAAAATTTATATCATTATTAATTCTGCCATAATTTTTATTATTGCTCTTTTCCAATCATTCTAAAAATGTTTGCTCAAATATTTTTGGCGTACATTATAATATTCTAAATAATATTTATCTTATGTTGTTGCTTATTTTGTGTGGTGAATATTAAATTTTTCAAGCATTTATTTAATATATATATATATATATATTACATCTAAAAAATTTATTTATTTTGCAGTAACTCTCATTGGTGGTGTTGTTTTCCTGATTTTTGCAGTTTGGGCATTAGCTATTGGTCCAGGAACATGAAGATATTTAGTTTTTAGAACTAATTTACGGTCATTTTCTGATTGCTTTAAATCCAGTTTTAAATCTAGCGTGATGGTTTCTGGATTTTTATTTGGTTTTTTTAAGCTTTGGTGTATATATATTTTTTATTGTATTATTAGTGGTAAACAACTTATTTATTCTCTTACAATTTATAAATTTCAAGTCTCTATTAAGTTATTTTTATTTATTATTAAATTTTGCTTGACTTTTGGCTTTATTTTTAAACCTGTCTGTTAATATATTATTGATTGTACAGTGTGTAAAGAATTTCATTGTAAATAATATTCAAATTAATATTGCTAGTTTAAAAATTGTAATTATTATAACTGTGTTAACCTTTTCTATGATGCATTGAAAATTAACATAAATATTATTTTAAAATACATAAATGGAGATGTAAATTCACTTTTACCATATCATGCCATATTTCACCAGCAGAACATGTGTCAGAAAACTCGCTCGTAAAATTTAATGTTATATTCAAGCATTATTGTGTTAGTTTTCTTTTTGTATAATTGTAGTTACTGACTGAAATTTGATTTTATATCAAGTTAAAATATTTTATGTTTTCAAATTTTTTTTTAAGAATCAAATGTTTGACTATTTATTAATGACAAATGTCATGTATTAAAATGTGGTTTAGTAAAGTTGTATTTAAATATTTATAGGCAATGTGGTGAGGAACCTGTAACAGTTAAAATAATGTATTATTTGGTGCGTATAAAAGTAAAGTTATTTATGTAATAAAATTGATAGATGGGTTATATTTGGTAAATATTACTTGTATTTGGATATAGTCATGATTAATATTAGTTAAGTGATTGATTTTTGTAGCAATTAAAATAAGGCCGAAATATGTAAATGTTAAATAATTAAGGGGGACGTGATCGTTAAGGAAAGTGGTAGTACAATGCTAATGTGGGATAACAATGACCCAATAGGTTCAAATGGTCACAAAGTGTGAGGTTTGAACAAATTGTATAATTTGGTATCACCAAATTTGGAAAAAGGGCGAAACTAAAATAAATTAAATATTGAAGATAAAAACGATAAAGTCATGCTATATCCCAACAATATATATGATTTAATACAGTAAGCTGATGTTTCCAATAAGAAAAACTAATAAATTCACATTTATGCATGCCCATTACAATAATTGAAAGGTACTCACCCTGTACACACAAGACATTTCAAAGGACAACCATCAAAAGAAACACACATTTTTAACTTGCAATTAAGATTTATTTAAGAAAAATATCTAACAACATAACTAGTGGAAATACGTCTTTAAAACCATTTTTAACAGTAGAAACACCTTTAATAGAAATGGGTGACGAGAGAAATTAAAACACAGAAGGCGTCATAGATAAAAGTAAATTATAAAAGAACGAGTAATTTGAAGGTTAAAATAAATATGGAAAGAAAGCTTAAATTCGAGAAGGTTTTTTGTAATGTTAAGGAAAATTAAAGGTATAAAATGCTGATTTTAAATTTACAGAAATTGATAGCAGCTATGGATTTAATTTAAAATAAAGGTGAAGAAAAAAATGTAAAAAGAAATCCCTCGATATGGACCGAAGTCCACATCTCGGAGAATAAAAAAAGGTATCCTGCCCGAAGGCTCGAGAGAGAGAGAGAGAATCCGTTAAAAAAGACTTAAAAATTCCTTAACTGGGGTATACCAGAAAAAATTACGGCCAATTAAATTTAAAGAGGCGGAGAGTTTGAAATTTAAAGGAAAGAGATTGGTTAGTTAGCCCCCCTAAAATTAAAAGAAGAAAAAGAAAGGCGTGAATAGAGGGGTTGGTTGACTTTCCCCACAGGAAGTGCGATGACCGCAACGACCATGAGAAAGGTCAACAAGAAAGTTAAAAATAAAATTGCTAAATAGAAAAAAAGGAATAATGTTTAAAGAAAAATTAAAGGCTTAGGTAAAATTAGAAAATTAAATTGTCATTGCTGGTTTGTCATTTGGACATTACAATATCTGAGCAATGTGAGAAATATTAAAACATTTCATACTTGGTCCATTTTCAACGTTGTATAAGATTCTGGATTTTCCACTTTGTTGATAATATAATCTATACCTTGAAAAGTATTTCATACTTGGTCAATTTTTGGCATTGTACAGGATGTTAGATTACATATATAAATATGTTTTATAAAACATACTTTGATTGATAAAGGATATATTTCAAAAATAATATTCTGAGTTTAATTTCTGTTGCCATTTTTAAATTCATTAATATTTTCAGTTTTACTTTTAATAAATTTAAAATAATGTTTTTAGTTACATTATATAATATTTAAATCCTATTATTTAGATACACCGTGATTGATATTGAATCTTGTGATTTTAGTGAAGGCAATTATTATTTTCAACTCTACGTGTTATTTGTTAACAATCTTGGTTGTTTACAATGTGTTTAGTTGCTTTCAATCTTAGTTTCTGCTCTGTATCTGTAAAAATTATTCTTAACATCATGGTATGATGCTAAAGTGAATGCAAATTTTTGATTGTTTAATTTATTTTGCTTGTTTTAATCAGAAATAGCCTATTTTAATAAGAAATGACCTTTTATAATAAAAATTAAATTTATTTATTGCCAAGCAGTAAAGGGTGAATTTTTACTATAATGAAAAAAACTTTAATTTTTTAAATGCCATAAATGGAAAAATTAAATTTTTGTGAATAAAGTTGCTTAAAATACAAGTGTTATGTTTGAATTTTTTTTTTTTTTACATTTGAAGGGTTAAAAATTTGTCAAATAATTTTCTTTTTTCATCAGTACTGTGATTTTATTGTCTCCAAAGGTGTTTTAATCAGGGAAAATTATTTATATACTTTTTACATTAACAGCATTAAAGTTAAAAAGATATTTACTGTCACTGTATATGCATGCATAGAGAACTTTCTTTAAGATTTATCTCGATTTAATCCTAATATTATGGTTCCCTTAACCGATTTACTGTGGTTAAGAGTAGTCAGGCTCTAGAGTTAATAAAAGAATTATTTACAAAAAATTTGCTCCATGCAAAGTACAATTGTAATTTATCAGCATCCTAGAATATTTTACTTATTTTATCGAAGATGGTAGCTATTAATTGATCTCTTATGTTAATGCTTCCTAACCATTATTTTTTTCAGGCTCAACATTAACTAGTCTCGAATTCTATCGACCTTGTATCAATTTTGATATTCCTTTCATTAGGTCATTCTGACATTATTAAAGTTAAATAATGAGTTGTAATTTCTCTCTTTCACGCCTAGTATTGCTTCTTAGCAACACTATGATAGTTTTTCTTAACTTTAAATAGTTTTAAAAAATAATTTCGTATCTGCAAGTAGGTTAATGTCATAAGTAAAAGGTGTTTTTTTTAATTTTTTTTTTTAATTTCATGGCTTAGTAATTTTATGTGTTATAGTAGTAATGTTAGTTTGAAAAAAATATACTGTTTATTTGTAAAAAAAAAAAAAAAAAGGTTGGGAAATTGATTAAATTAAAAAAAAATAAAATTTATTTATTTATAGAAAATCAGAGTGAAACATTAAAACAATAAAAGTTTTAAAATAAAGCAAAAAAATCTATTAACAAATAAATTTATTTCATTTTTGAAATAATATTTTTTTTTTTGAATTTTTCAATCCCATATGAAAAGGTCAGTAATTGAAATGCCTGTCTATGGAGGCTTGGACTGCACATTCTAAAGTGTATTAGTTGATATAAAACTTCATGCTGAACTGTAATTTCTTTATTCATATGTTGTTAATAAGTTCCTTTGATCTTTTTATGCAATATTTTGTTATTGTTGTATCCTAGTTTTCTTTTTACATTAGCAATTATATTTCATATTTACAAGATCTTGGAACGAATGTGATCAATTTTTTAGAACAAGTAGTATTGAGAAAATGTATTTTTTTAGCTGTTTGTAAATAGAATGGTTATTCAAGTTTGATCCTGTTTACCTATATTACTATTTGAAATAGTGTGTATTAAAAATTCAATAAATTTCTTTTGTATTAAATTGAAATTTTCTCCTGATTATTATGAAAATTAAGCAATTGGAATTTTTATCATTTTTAAAAATTGTCTTTATAAGCAACCTGTGTTATGTAAAAAAATATTTTCATTAAAAAATTGTCTGTTTTTCTCCTCTTATTATTTATTATGCAATATGAGTTTTAAGTTTTTTCATTTTTCTATTGTGCACATATTTGAGTATAAATGGTAAAAGAGGACACTAATTTTAATTTATTGGAACTGCCCTTTTATATCTTTTTTATTTTTATTATTTTCTTTTTTTAGTTTCAGATTTCTTCTACTCTTACAGTAACAAATGATATCATATGAATGATATCTCCCCCATGATGTATTTAATAAAGGTTAGTGAATACTTATTTATTGTTGTTTCTAATGACACTTGAGAAAGCCAATCTTGCCAGTCATTTGCCTTGCTAATTGAGTTAAGAAGGAGAAGCTTAACCAGAAAGCACTGCTGAGAAAAAAATGTGGGAGTTAACTCAGATCCCCTAGATAGATCACAGTCCAATGTTTTAATCGTCACAACCCTATTTATTGTTTTTCGATTACTTATTAACTGTAACGTAAATTAATTTCACCATTTCTGTATTGAATTATGTAAGCTTACAATACAATGCTGTTAAATCTTTTGTGATTCAACAGGTAGATATTTAAAACCTCTTATTTTAATAGATGTAGGTAAGCTCTTTGTTCAAATCCATTTGTGGTGCTAGGCAGCTCATATCATTTTAATAGAATCCTTCCTTATTTTACTAGACATATTACTCTAATAATTAATAGCCATAGGTTACTTATAGTTTGTTAAATTTTATGCAGATTTGATTAGATAATGAGCATTTAAATTAACAAAATTTATTTGCAACAAAATAATGCTTGAAAAATGATTTAATTTCATACAGAATATTAATTTTAAAATTCTAAGTATTTCTGAATTTTAACGAATTATAAGAATTTTAACGAATTGCTCATTAAAATTTAATGAAGATTAATAAAAGACAAAAAAGAACTTATACATGAAAAATATAAAATGCTATAAAATAGCTATAAAGAAATAATCATTTTAAGGAGGGGAAAAAAATGAATTTGTTAAGTAATGGAAAATGCAAGAAAGACATTAAAATCGTTTTTAATTCAAAACTTCATCATCTGTTTCAATTCTTTGAAAAACATCGTTTGAAAATCATGTAGAGCAGTTTTTTTACTTTTTATTTAAAAGCCATCTATAATCCGTTTGGCAAAAAATGATGGTTTAATATGGCTCGTAAACCAGTCCAAAAATTTTTACAAAATAGGCATCCAAACGTGTTCCAAGCATTACAGTATTTTTTTTTTAAGAGGAAGAACAAGTAAAAATTGAAATTTGCCAACCTTGGGAGACCATATTAAATGTACCAGGTATAAGAAAATATGATAGGGTAGGAAAAAAATGCACTATAAATTCAATACCAGTGATGAGGAATTAATTTTAAAATGATGATAAACGTCAAGTTCAAATGCATGACGACTCAACGAGGCGGCTGAATGTTTCCGTAATTTTAAATTGTATCCAGGAAAAATAATGGAAATACATTTCGTATATCAATCATTCATGAAGAAAAGGGTTCATCTGGAAAATGGTCCTTTTCTTCTGACTGACTGGACCCCATATGGTAGACAAAAAATTTTGGAAGAAAAATTTTTTTTTTTTTTTGCTTTCATAATTAATTTTTTTATTTTTTTTTATTTAAGCGACTTAAAACTCCTCATGCACCACAAAGTATAGCATGAGGCTTACAGTTGTAAGTAGAAAACAAAAAGAAGAAAAATTTACAAATTTACATTAAAAACAAAATTCCGCAAGGCCGCAAGACTTTCAATACTTTTGACCAGTTCTGATAAGACAGGTGGCCAACAAATAGAAAGACGTCTCAAATCAGTCTTTAAAATTCATTCGGGCACTCGCATACAGACTACAATGAAGAAGAATATGTTCAGCATCACCGCAAGCACAAATTCCACTGGTCTGCAGATGGAAACGAAATAAATATCTCTTAAAATTTCCATGGTTTGTTAAAATTTGGGTCAATTTCAAATCAGTTGCAAAGAATTTACATTGCAAACGGTGAAAAATGGATGGAAAGAACCTTTTCGTCCAAAGCGACCGAGGCGAAGCAAGAAATTCAGCATTCCAGTCTGCAATGATTTTATCTCTAGCGATGCGCTTCCTGCTTTCATAATTGTCAACAAATATTTCAAATTCAGCTTTAATAAAAAATTAATTTGAATAGTAATTCTTGTGAAAAAAATTGTTTTACGTAATTGTCTTATAGCTTATTAAAAACGAAGCATAGAAAATTCATTTTTCATTGTGCATTTAATAAAAAATTGCATTAGTTGTTGAAATCCTTTTAATGCTTCCTATTTAATGCTTAACGGAAATCTACAATGAAATAAATTTAAAATTTTGCTGTTTACTGTCACGTGCGGGACATTGTGCAATCTTACTAGATGTCTCACATGTGACAAACTGCAAACACACTCAAAAATTAATTGCAATGAAAATATGAATACGAACATATTTAAAATCATCGAAATTAATTTATTGAATCATAATTTCAGTGTAAAAAAATGTATTGTTTAAATAATTTCGTTAAATTGGCTGAATTCATGGATTTTTTTCAAACATCATATTTACGCAATTTCAGCTCTGTCCCGTTCGTAACACTTGGTTGACTTGTTATAATTAATATATTTTATGATTTTGAAAAGAGTTATTAGTTATAAAAAATAGAGTACTATATGCACTTCATAAAAACAAAATATAAATTTTCATTTTTGTAAGTCACTAAACATATTAGGATACAATTGATTAAGAAAATGCCTTAGAAATTGCCCTTTACGTGACATAGGAATGACCCTGTACATGTATAAAAAGCAAACGAAAGCTGTTTGTCTGCGATGCAAGCGTTTATAAACATTCGATTAGAAAAGCTATGATTTTTTAAACCTATTTAATTCTGTCGATTCTAATTTCTTGAAGAATTAATTAAGTTCAACATGACTACATTATATTTCACATAGCTATATTCTACATTACTCTTATTCGAAATTTCTGGATTGTTGGATATTGCATCTAAACTGTAAACGATGACTATATTATATTCCATATAGCTATATTCTACTATATTCATCAGATTGTCTTTTATGTAACTCCGGACAAGCCATGACTGCTGCGCATTTGGGCACGTGCTCTGCACTAAAAGACTTCGACAGTGTTGCCAGAACTTAAGATTAAAAAGTAGCGAATGGGAGCTCCAAAAGTAGCGGATTCGAACATTTTGTAGCCCAAAAATAAATCATATATATATATATATATAAATNATATATATATATTTCAGTAAGGAAAAAAAGTAGCGCATATTTAAGATTTGTAGCGTTCGAAAAATAATAAGTAGCCCAAAAAGTAGCAAGTAGCGAAAATTCAATTTTTAGTAGCGGGGACTTTTAAAAGTAGCCCAATCCGCTACTTGTAGCCCAATCTGGCAACACTGGACTTCGACTGTATTGTTAAAAAGTACTGGAGAGCTAGAAGCCTAATGGCCTAATAGTCAATGACTGGTATTTGTTTGATAAAATATTCTACAATATTCCCAGTCAAAAATTTCTGGTTTGTAGGATATAGTTTCTGAGTTGTAAGCGATAAGCACATGAAGCTCGTAGCATCGCATTTAAACATGTTCAAAGTTTTATTGTGATTTTTGTTATGAAATCTGATCAACTTCATTAATTTGCGATAAATTCCAAACATGTTACTTATGTTCCTTGATTTTTAAATCTCTATATGTTTCGCAATGTAAGAGTCACAATAGTAATTTATTGTCATAAAAAAATATTTTTAGTTCATTTTTTTAATTTTATTATTTCTATCTGTGCCCGGTTTTATCCACTTTTAGCAGTCCTTAAAAAAATAATCTTTTTTACCCCCAAAAAATATATATTTTTTAAATGAAATAATTTTTACTTTTGGAGCTAGAGGACTATTTGATCATTTAAATAAAAAAGTAAGCTATTTTATTCAATAATACCTATTATATTTCCAATAAATGTGAGAAATTAGAAAATGTATTTCCATGTTACAAGTATGGATGAAATAAACTTAAGTAAACTTTAAAGGGTATTTTCATAAAAACAGTGTTTTTAATAAACACATAAAATGCAACTTCTGCAATTTTCAACCGATTTGCTTAAAAATTTCTAATACACTTGTTGAAATATGGAAATAATTTATAACTTTTTCCTTATTATTATAAACCCGTAACGTTGTTGTAGTTCATTTACGTCGCACTAGAGCTGCACAATGGGCTATTGGCGACGGTCTGGGAAACATCCCGGAGGATGATCCGAAGACATGCCATCACAATTTTGATCCTCTGCGGAGGGGATGGCACCCCCGCTTCGGTAGCCCGACGACCTGCGCGCGAAGTCGAGCACTTTACGGTAGCACAGTTTAACGAGGACCAATACCGCACACCCTCGGTCCCTACGCAGACTGATCCAAGTGGGTCACCCACCCGCACACTGACCGCAGCCAGTGATGCTTGACTTCGGTGATCTGCTGGGAACCGTGTCTTAATGATCAGTCGACTGCGGGACTATAAACCCGTAACGTACTTGAATCAAACTTTCTTCTGACTGTTTAATCTCCTATCTGCCATATACAAATTAGAAACGTTTTAATAAATTTTGTTTTCTTGTGTCCCATAACTTACTTAACACTGATTGTTGTGGTTTGTAAACAAATGCTATCGTTTTATTGATTTATTTTATGGATAAACCTTTATTTAATCAGTTTCGTCCTGTTGCTTCAAACTGTTGATTACCTATCAGCCATTTACAAATTCGACATGGTTTTATAAATTCTTATTATTGTCTCAGCTTATCTCAAAGTGATAATAGTATTTTTATCGCTTTTAATTCTTAATTCAAAATTCCTGTTTCGGGAAAACAAAT